TAATGCTCTGTGAAAATATAAAGAGAGAAAACAATTACACATATTGTTTGAATTCATATTACATATGCTATATAGGCTGTCCTTTGTAATATTTATCACGACTTTTCATGCATTTCCGGTGATTTGACAAAAATAGAAGTTTCAAACAAAAGTTGGCTAATTTGCAATTAACTGTAAATTGCGATAAAAAAATTTTTCGAAGAACTTTCTTCCTTTTTTAATAAAAAGTCAAGATTATAGTCGTTGAAAAATAATTAGTAGCATTCTAGCTCAACAAATTTATCAATTTAATTAATACGTTAATATAATAAACTTCAGTTAACGTTGAATTCACAATTTAATTCGTGACACATTGAAATTTTTTGTGGACCCTTGTCAATGATAATTTGCCTATATCTAAATTCAAGATACGAAAACCATGACTTTGTTTTCCGATTTGATTGTAATCTAAAGACTATTTAATCTTTTAACGAAAAAATTGTTTAGGTACCTTTTTTCATTGCAGTTTCTAGGCTATTGTAAATGATCTAGCCAGTTTTGTTTAAAATAATTTTTTGTCAAATCATCACCAGAAAATTTGGTGTTAATTAATCATTAAAAGCAAATTTGGTCCTCGTTAGCATAGAATGCGATGCAACTAAAAAAAAGAGAAAAAAGAGAAAAGGAAAATCGCTTGTTTAATCCTGAAAAATCAGTCAAGATCAGACAATACAGAGTTTACAACGATATTTGAGCTTGAAATTTATTGATTTATAGTTAAACGAACCGTGAAATTTTGTAGATCGATTTCGTACTAAATGGTCGAAAATTGTAGGTATTAAGGCTAATTGCCAATACAGTTCTTGTCATATTTCTACATGGTACAGCTGTGAGATTAATTAGGAAATTCAATTATTGAATTATATTCCTATTAACTTGCATTACATTGTATTCAGTTCGTTTAATACGATTAATGTATTAAATGTTCATTTATTGTTCGGTCGTTTCTTTTTTTCTTTCTTTAATCTTATTTATGAGAAAATTCTGAACAGTAGTTGTTATTTTTCTAACGTAAATGATCCTTCGATCACGATGAATTATGCTTATTTTAAATGAAAATAAATCGTTATGGAAGGAGAAACGCTTAGAAAAATCTTGATCGTATATTTTTATCTGGCTAACACCGATGTTCCAATAATGTGGGTACATAGATAAGTAAAAATATGAGGCGTTCCTGCCATCTTTAAAGATTTCTTATGCGTTACATTGTCACCTTACTACTCTTAAACTTAAATTTTATAACTCCTAGCCGACTCTCCCACTAATTTACTATAATCAATGATTCGAGCGATCGAGAGTGATATATTTAACTTTAAACACGAAACATTTCGTTTGACCTATCTACATATATACATATGTAACATGTATCAAGAGCAATGGCAGAACGTATAAAGTTTATTATATTTTTTCAATATTGTTCATTCGAATAAATTCTCATGCCGCAGTTCGATGTTGAAAAATATTTAAGAGTTTTAAACGTGGTAAGATCAATAGATCAATAGATTCATAGTCTGAAGTTAACAATAAGATAATAAATGGCGTATGATGCAGCAATTACTAAACTTACTAATTAACTGGGATAACTTTTTACTCGTACTAAAAGCTTTTGTCATCGTGTTAAAAAATCTCTGTATAACCTTTTATCAAACTTTTATCTTACAATTAGCGTATTAAATTTAATTCTTTAATAACTAACCTTTCATAAGCGTCATTATTCATTATTATTCATTCTATGAATAAACAATATCACGCATAGTACGAATATGTGTTTTTCTTCTTGTGTAAAAACAAATTTCTCATTTATCGACATGTGATCTTTTCATTAAGGATTCTTTACTATCCAGATGAAGAAAGCATTGCACGCTGCGATATCAATATAATTTAAAAACAATGATAGTTCTGAACATAGTGCACCCATTAGCCTTATACGCCTGACTCTGTTTTTACACGATAGACACGTTCCTGAAGAATACGTGTAAAAAAAATTCGTGTAAAAAAATATATGGCGTCTATGGAAAAATAGAAGATTGGTTCCAGTCCCAAGAAATCAGGAAAAATAATACAATAAACCATGAGTTTTCATGTTAGGATCTTAAACATTTTATTTCGTAAAGATTGCACATGTATCGTATAAAGTAAATTATCACTTGAAAAGGAAAAAAACATGTCACTAATTCATGAACACAAAAATTAGGCAAGATAATATGAGTTACGCATGATAAGATTTTATTCGTTGTCACTTTTTGACAATAAACGCATACGTTTGCGTAAAACTGCGATATTACTGCTATCGCTAGAAATGGCTTGGTTATCGTCTTCGTGCTCCATTGGTGAAATTCTTTCTGTAATCTTTTGAACAAAATTAGGACTAGCCTGCCGTGGTGCCGATGTTTCAGTGGATTTAAGAACGAATTCGGTAATTAATCGTTGCGTTTGTGTTTTGGCTAGGACAAAAATTTTGATCGATCGTGTTAAATCAAAATAAGTCGTGTAAAAAGAGAATTAAATTTTTTTCCTAATTCGTGTTAAATCAAAATCGTGTAAAAGAAGTTCGTGTAATAACAGAATTGGGTGTACTTATATCTATAACCACTACTCCAACTTTAATCGAATTTAATATTGATTCGGAATTGGTTTCGCTGCATCTAGCTCTGCCGTTACACCAATGGAATTATATGATTCACGAAAAAAGGTTAACACGTTGACTGCATGGTGACCTCCAGTGTTTGGCGATACTAATTTTCTAAATTTATATTTGTTTTATTCTAACCAATTTTTGAATATTTGAACAACTTAAATAAATAGAGAACTTTGAATAGAAAATATTAATAATTTGCACCATTTTTCTTTTTCTTTACCATATTATTTGATATTGCATCATTATATCCTAAGAACAATGGAAATTTTATCGTGGACCCCTGAGCGAACTATGTAAAAATTGTTAGAAGTATGGCAGTCAAAGTATTAAAAATTTCCCAAATACTTGAAACATCAAGTGGAATTTAGGAGTCATTTTGTACATTTTTTATCATTTTACTTGATTGTTCTTAATTTTAAGTTAACGACACCGATTTTATCGTTATACGACAGTCGCTTAAGACCTTTAGTGTTACAGTCATGTGTCGATTAGAAAAACACATTATTACAAAGCCACGACAATAGATTTCCTTTACAGCCTATCTCTGGCACCTTGGATGAAAGTATAGCGTGACTGGTTTTACGAAAACTCTATAGAAATCTGTATCGTAGAATTTTTGGCTAAATTAATCCTATGCAGACAGAGATCTGTGCGTCTAACAAACAATAATTCTTTTTTCGTAACAAAACAGGTTTTCTTTAATTAAAATATTACACTAAGTTTCCCACACGTGTCAACTCAAATCTGCCTATTTCTGACTTCTTCTCAATTCTTCTCAAATCTCAACTATATTCTGACTGCCTCGCGCCCTTGCATCCTTACCTAAAGCCAAATCTATCTCTTTTTATATACATGCTTTCCTTTTCAATCATTCGACATAGTCACAGACATCTCGATAAAGGATTTCGCGCTATCATTTGTTCTTTCGCGTCAGACCCGATGCCGCCGTTCGCTATTCCTCGCATTTTGAGAAGCCACCCAAACGTTTCCATGCACTCCCTTAGAGGTAAGACCGCACACCCATTCACCTCGCTACTACTCTTTATACATCGTCAATGCCCTTCATCGCTCGTCATCCTACGATATAAATAGTGTCAATTTACAGTTCATATATGGCGTTAGATTTGTGTTAAATACAGATGGTTAAATTGGTTCGTTGAACGAGCAGCAATGAATTCATGCTGCTGATCAGGAATAACGTGCAGAAACTGTAAATTCAATTTGTTCCTTTACGATGCTTTCCAAAATCTTACCTAACGCTTTACTAATGTTGAGAGGCTTATAGTTATCGATATCAGATACACACCCTGCCTGAAAGTTGAAAGACACTAAGTTTATCGTCCAACATTTCAGAAATGTATCGAAATGTCCACGATTTATGAAAAATAGTCAAGGTTTAATAAGATTTAATAAAAATACTGGTACCGTCAATACCAGGACTTTTACTAGTTTTTAAATTATCGATTTAATCGAACGTATCGCCAATGAACTAACAGACATGTTCGTAACATAGACGTATAGCCATCGTCAGAAATGGGATGTGCTCTTGGAAAAGAGATTCGCTATTACCGGGTATCAATCGCTACTTTACCACTAAAATTTAACACAGTATCCCGTGAAATATTAAAATTACCCTTGGGGATAACAAAATTTCAAATATTGTTGGACATTCCAAAATTGTTTAAATTTACTATTGGACTTTTTCATGATTTATTTCTGAGGTCCTTATTTACCATTTCCTTTTTAATAAGTTGTTTGTACTCTAGGTAATGCAGTGGTTCGTGATACGTTTCGATGATAAAATTTCTACCTTGTGCATATGAAATGTTTGAAGAATTAAGTACAAGAAACACATTCATGATCAAGAGTAACCATGGAAATTAATGCAACGATTTCAGAAATTACTTTCGTTGCAAAAATATATAAATACAGGATGTCCCATTTAAAGTTTCAAACACAATTATTTCCTAACCTATAGTTCGTTTCAAAAAATATTTCAAATGAAACTTATTCCGTTTCAAAGCTTTTTTAAATGGAACTGTATATTTTTTTTTTATTTTTATCTGAGCGGATAGTGTATTTCAGAATGAATTCATTGATCTATAATACTTTGGTCTTTGAAGGTTATTCGTTCGTTCAACCCAACGGAAAAGGATGAGAAAGCAACATCTAGAGAATTATGTAATTTATGGCGAGACATTACGGTTATCCTGCGAGTTCCTGTTTTCACAATCAGATATCGCCAGGGTAGTTCTAGTAATTTCATTTTCACAATCTGGCATTAATGTGCGATTGCTGCCATGGCACGAGACGAGTCTACCGTATTTGTTCGCAGTGGTGTGTTTAAAGGAATTCTTGAATCTTTATACACAAGAGGAAACTTACGTGATACAAGTAAGTATATTAATCGTCGGACAACGAATGTCGCGATATTCATAAATACATCAAATATGATCCAATACAATTTCAAGAATTGAAGCAAAACTACGATTTCTTATTGTAATATTGTAATATAAGTAATTCGTTGTTTGAAATACATGTAAATAAAATAAAAACGCATGATCATGCCTAAAACCTACTTCTCTTCGATTCGTTCTCTTGACACATCTAATCACAAAAAGAAACTAAATATTACAAATTGTCGGATTTTGCAAGACATTTACAAACTACACTTTACATTTGCAATTTTAAAGGCATGTTTACTAGCTTACGTAAAAATAACATCACATTTGCATACCTTGCAGATCACGAAAAAGAAAACTGTGGAAACTATCGGTAGAAATTCAAAATCTGATGTCCGAAAGTTGTGAAGATAACAACGTCGTTACCTTGGGGAATCTACAGCAATATCTGATGGTAGGAATATTGTCTAGAACATGTATTTTCAGAAAACAAAATAAAAAGACAAGAATAAGGTAAAAAGTTATCGACAGCGGTCGTTTCGGTTAAAACCATAAAACTGAATAGCACCAATCGGGATAATCCCCCACGGTCCACTTACAATTCGGCACTCTCGTTCTACTGAAAAGGGTTGGGGAGGGGATAATAATAAATATGGTTATCCTAAATACATACATATTCTTGTTTACCAATTCTAATATTCTACTTACTATATAAATTACTTAATATACCTACTTACTAATAACGTATACTAACGATACGTTAAAATTTATTTATTTCATTAGAGCATATTACAACGATATATTTCTTTCCTTCGATTGTAACCTTGTTTTCCCTATTTGATAGAATTTGTCCAGCTTTTAAAAATAAAAGTTCAAATATTTATTTGTAATTTTGCATGCAATTAAATATAAACAAAAAATTTAGATGCCTTTCAACAATATAATTTCGAAAGGAAGAGAAAAAAAGAACACGTAGGTGTGTTATATTAGTTATAGAACTGTTGATGTTAGTCCTATGAAAATTCTGGGCTAATTGTCGTGAGATGAAACATAGCCCTTTTACCAGAAGATGTCGCATCACTTTTTACACTCCGAAGCCAGATTCTCTGGAAAGAAAGTGCTATTCGTTAGGCAATATTCTCCCTAGACTCCCGATATTAGTTTTTTCAAGAATAAACATTTTTTAAGACCTCACGTAGATCAAATCGTTGCCATAAATCGTACACGCTGGTAAAAAAGCTAATTACCAATAAGACGATCTCACAGCTCTTACAATTAGTCTATTAAAAGTGCAACGACGTTAACATATTTATGATATATAAATTGTAATATTACATGTTGAGGTTATATCGAGGGTGATTCGATCGGTAATGGATTGAAAAACACTACCGATGTCTAAATGCCCTTAAACATTACAGCAGGGGTCTTGTGCCCTTACACGATAATCAGATAAATAGGGAGAGCGATTAAATTTGGCGCATATACATGTGTGCGATTTCAAAGTTTCAAGTGTTAAGGTTTCCTGAATATTCCTATTTCCTGAGTAGGCGGTACTTTGAGTCCACTAGCGAGCAAATTGCTCTGTATATGTATACATATTTGTATATGCGTAGAGATAGAGTTCATTAACAACTTTTGCAAATATCTCGAAAACTAAAGCCGCGTGGCAAATTATTGTTCAGAATGTCGGGTAGAATTGTTGAACTACTAAATTTCGAAAACTAAAGCCGCGTGGCAAATTATTGTTCAGAATGTCGGGTAGAATTGTTGAACTACTACTTCCTCATCGATCATAATAGGACCAACATGTTATAAAGAAAGTTATTTTGCACAAACCTTTTATATGAAAAAATTGGCGTTTGATCTTAGTTTCCGAGATATTCGAAAAAAAAGATTGTTACTAATACACTGAATTAGTAAAATATTTAAATTTCATGCGTGATAGTTTTTATATATGCAGCGAGCGAACGAATGAGTGAGCGTGGAAGGGATAAGTTGGCAACGAATAAGTGACTTTGTGTAACCATGGATTAGCTATAGTGTGTGAGCGGGATAGTACGTGTGGAGTGAGAGAGAGCAAAAAAGAAAACGCGGAAAGTATCGTGTCCATAGCAGTGTGCTTGCCTCACGTGGTAGAATGAAAGTTTTTATATTTGTTCGTTTTTTCGTATTACTGCCATTGGTTGACTAGGAATCTTGATATTCTTCTGGATATATTGGGGTTAGATAAATCAACACGCTTCATATAACAATACACTTCATGGCTTGTTATAAGGAAGAGACGTTTATTGGTAGCATACATTGGTGGGGGACACGACTCACTGTACACTGCATCACTTAACACGAAGTATTTTGATTATATTTAATAATATATTATTATAAAAGTATAAAATAACACAACGAGTATTAAATTCAATGGAACAAACAATAGAGATTATTTTTTTAAACATGCTAAGGATTAAGTAAATTGGGATTACATATATTTGGAAATCTTTCGATAGGTAAAACATAGTAAGTACATATTATTTATTTGTAGCTTCGATATATTGAATTATCTGCTTCTTTAATCCAAGGAATTTGTTGCCCTCTAGTAGTTTGGTTAGAATATTGCTTTGTTTGTGTTTCAGTACTCAATCTGAAACCAGCTTTTCTTCCATTCATTATGAATATAATAGAATTTAAATTCAACATGATTACTGTGTCTTGCAATTTGGACAGACTTAACCATCTTGATTGTATTGAAGTAGTCAACTTTCACAATGACTTTGATCTCTGTGTTTAGTAGTTCTTCAAAGAATGTCTTTATACATTTTAACTCAGAAACACACTGGGCTGTTGCGATATATTCAGCCTCAGTAGTTGATTTTGCTACAAGACTTTATTTTTTCAAACTCCATGCAATGGGTCCATTAGCATATTTTATGATGTATTCAGTTGTGCTCTCTATAGTTTTTATATACCCAGTATGATTCGCATCAGTGAAGGCTCCCAAAACAATTTCATTTTGTTCTTGTCTTGAATAGCAGATTCTGTTATCCTATGTATCATTTAAGAAGCATAGAATTCTCTTCACATTTCTTATGTCCATTTCAGAGAGATCATTTATTTGCCTACTCTCGTAATCTACCACATATACAATGTCTAGTCTAGTGTTATAGCTTAAATACAATAAGCTACCTACAGTTTCTCTGTATGCAATCCTTTATTTCTTCTTTAGTGATATATCTTTCTTCTGATCTGTAATTAGAGTTTCCACAGTCTTGGTGTTTGTCATGTTAAATCTTTGAAGTATCTTTTTAGTATAGTTTTCTTGCTTGATAGCAACTCTATTTTCTGTTTTCATTATTTCAATTGCAAGATAACTTTGAGTATTATTCATTATTTTAGCTTCAAAGTTCTTCTATAATTATAGCAACAAGGAATTCTCTTTCGACAGATCATTTTCAATCACTAATCCATCATCAAAGTGAATGCATAGATACATTTCTTCTGTGCTTCTACTTTTAAAGACACATTGATCAGTATTTAGTTCAGTCATATCCTTTTGTTTAAGGAAATCAGTTCTTTTTTCATTGAAGTGGTGCTTGTTTATGCCATACCAAATGTTTTTAAGGAAACATATTGTTTTTTTCTTGTTGTATCCTTCTGGCACTTTCATGCTCTAATCTCTGTGCTCTAAATCTCCATGCAGAAATGCTGTTTTGATGTCAAATGTGACAATGTGAAAGTTTTTTTATGTAGCAATAGCCAACATGGCATATGGTGAGGTACTTTGTATAATTGAACTGTATATGTCTGCAAAATCTATTTCACCTCTTTGCTCACATGCTGGAATAACAAGTCTTGCTTCAAATTTACCATCATCTTTGACTCAAAAAACCCAACGACTAAACAGAATTTCCTTATCTTTGGCTTTATCTTCATTGACATATTCCCAAGTTTTATATTTGTTCAGGAAACATTTTTCATCACTTATAACTGCTAATCACTTTTTTTTGTCAAGGCCTTTTAGATACACTTCATAAGTCAACAATACTTCTTCTGGGAACATCACATAGTCTTGGAATCTTAAGGGAAGTCTTCTTTGTCTTTGGGGTCTTTCATTGTTTTGAGGTTCTTTATTTTCTTCATAGATGTCTTTGTTTTCTTTATTTTCTTCTTCTTTTATATTTTGATTTTGTTCGCTATTTTTATCTTCTGTGTTATCTTCTTGTTCATTTTCTTCATCTTCTGTATTTTCACCTTTTTCATTATTTTCATTATCTTCAAACTGATTTTCTACTCTGCATTTGCTTCTTGTTCATCTTCAAACAATTTGTCAGAGAAAGTAACTCTCTGAACACATAGACCTTTCTTTGAATTGGATCCCAAATATGGTATCCATGGTCAGAATATCCAATAAAATTACCTTTTGTTCTCTCTTCCAGTTTCTTCAGTTTTCCCAGGTTTTTGGTATGTACTACTGTACTAAAAACATGGAGTCTTTTGAGATCTGGCTTTCTACTATTCCATTTTGCAGAAGGTATTACATTCAAGAAAGACATTAGACTTCTGTTCAAAATGTATGTCGCAGTCTCTATAGCAAAACCCCACCTTTTATTATTTAGGTTTGCTGCATGTATCATAAATCTTACCTTGTTCATAAGTCTAAGATTTACACGTTCAGCTGCTCCTTGATGGTGTATTGAATTCTTATTACAGCGAATTATCTCTGTTTTTAAATTGAAGTGTGCTTCACCTTCAGCAATGAATTCTTTGAGATATTTACATGCTTCATTTTTGGTATACAAAAGATACATTCTCAAACAATGGGTGTAGTTATCCATACAAGTTATGAAGTATTCTTCATTATTTTCACTTGAAGGTCTTATTTTCAACGCAGATATCTGTGTGTACGATCTTTATGGATTTTTTAGCTTTGTATCTCACAGTATCAAAAGAATGTCTTGTTTTCTTTGAGATAACACAGGACTCACAGAACTTACCTTCTTTGATTTTGGATAGTAATTGAAGTATTCTTTCACACAGATTGGGTAACTTCTTCATATTTTTGAAATTTAGATGATCCAATTTGCAGTGCCACTTCATAATTCTTGTGTTAGAAATGTCTCGTTATTGTTGCTTAGATCAACTTCATACAAGTCTGTTGTTATGTTCTTTTTTTCTATAATGATACTGTTTTTTGTTCTAGTCAATTTCATCAACTGGGCATATTTGACGTAAAATCACTGGAAAAAACCAAAGAAGGGAAAAATGAGTATAAAAAATACAATACATAATGAGTGGAGTGATTACAATATTGATAAATTCAAACGAAAAAAGTATTGATAGATTGTGGGGACAAATAACAAGGAATATGGCTGTGGAAATAGATTGAGGACAGGTTTTATTGTTAAATGAACTTACAAGCTTGAAGTTGAAAAAGAAAGATACCATAGATGAGTATATGATTAAAACTGATTGAAAAAACCAGTATATTTAGCTAAGACAAGCAGTTCAATAGTACGAGTTAAAAACATAAATATTAAATGACCTGAAGACAGAATTTAATGTAAGAATAATCAAGAGCAAGGAAAATAGCACTATAAATGAAATCCAGTATATGTTGAGACAGGGGGAACTAAGACAAGAAGAAAGGAAGGGTGAGAAACAAACAAGAGACAATGAAAGTGTGAGAAAAGCATGGCAAAGGACAAAGATACACAGAAAGTGTTACGAGGTTTGCAAAGATGGGATATATAGCAAGTGAGCGTTAGGTAAAATAAGGTGCTATAAATGTGAGGGATTTGAACATATGGTAGTAGATTGTAAACATCATACAAGTAATAGGCTAATGACTAAAAGAGGTTGAAGAAGAAATCAATATATGAGAGGACATGGACATGATTCTGGATATTTATGAGACAGGGGACATAAAAGAGGCAAAAGAAAGACAATGATGAGGGTCAGAGAAGAAGTAGTAATGCTAGGTCATGATCAGCTGATAATGGAAGATATATAGAATGAAAAGCGAAAACGAGTAACTAATACAAATAAGAAACGTATGATACGGCTGTTGGATTCTGGGTCAACTAGCCACATGACATACAAAACAGAAACATTTGATGATGAAATAAAGGCCGAGGAAAGGGAGATTGACTTGTCAGATAAAAAGAGAATAAAATTAATTAGGTCATGATCAGCTGATAATGGAAGATATATAGAATGAAAAGCGAGAACGAGTAATTAATACAAATAAGAAACGTATGATACGGCTGTTGTATTCTGGGTCAACTAGCCACATGACATACAAGACAGGAACATTTGATGATGAAATAAAGGTTGAGGAAAGGGAGATTGACTTGTCAGATAAAAAGAGAATAAAATTAATTTCCAATGGAATTATATTCTCTTACAACAAGATATAGAGAATATAGTGATATGAAGATGTGTTATGTGTTCCTGAAACGAATACAAATTTGATATTGTTGGCCAAAGTCACTGACCAGGGTTCATGTGTTAAGTTTCATAAAGATGGAACTGGAGTATACAAAGAAAAAGAAGATGTTCAAATGATAGTAGTGAGGAAAGGAGATGCGTATTTTGTGGATTCAAAAAACAAAAAGAGAGGCAGCATATGTGTCGATATGTGTTAACTCCTATGGGTACTACAATTAGCATCGACTATGTCATACAAATGTGAGAATCATTGAAGAGATGTGGAATAAAACGATTGGTAATAGATATGATAAATAAAGATAAAGTGAATGTAGAGTATGAATGTTGAATTAAGACAAAAATGTGTAGAAAAGTGCATAAAAGATTGGAAAATAGAAAAAACAGAAGGAAAATAATGGAACTGTGGCACATGAACTTGAATGGACCAATGAAATTAATGTCAAAAGGAGGTAAGAGGTACATCTTAACTGTCACTGATGATTATTTTGAGAGTGATTATTGTCTAGCTCTTAAAAGGAAAGGATGAGACAACCGAGGAAATAATAGGGTTGATAACATTGAAAGAAAATCAATCGGACAAGAAGTTGAAGAGTATATACTCAGATAATGGAAGTGAGTGAGAACCTCAAATCAGAGAATCTGCAGGATTGGTTAAATAAAAAGGGAATAAAATAAGAGTTGAATCCAGCAAGGACTTTCTAATGTAATGGGATTGCTGAAAGGACGAATAGATCTATCATAGAGATGACAAGGGCATTTCTGATGGATTCAGATTTGCCAATGTAGTTTTGGGTAGAGGCAGAAGTAGAATGGGGTACAGCTATTGAAGAATAAAGATGAAAAAAAAATATAAGAAAAATGAGGAATTAGAAATTGTTGGGATTAAAGATAAATATACAGTGGAACAGAGTTGTTGGTGAGAAGAGAAGAAAATCTGGATGAAAAGATTGAGAATACTATGATGATTTAGAAGGAAATTCTGATGAAATCGCAGGAAGATATGATATCGAAGAAAACAATGAAATGATTGAGGTAGGATAGGATAGCAAACATTACATAAGAAAATAGAGTAGAAGACTTGAGTGAACTTATAGTAAGTGCAACTTATTTAAAAATACGATTAATTAGAAATAACAAACCGAAGGAAAATTTTATAACGTAAATGAATATGAACGACAATGATGAAAATAATAAAATTATATTTTTCCATAATAGACGTAACGTTTAACGTAGTATGTATTCATAGGATGTCGCATATATTCATAACACAGCTGCACTACGTGGGGCCTAAGATTTTGATAACTTCTTAAATATAGTTCTTAAACAATGAATTAGTGTAAATAATGTTTTCAGAACGTTTCTTGAGATACGTTTCTTAAGATACGATTTTAGTTAATGTAAAAGGTATTCGTACATTAGTTAATATCAATGAATATTAATGAGAATATCAATGAGAAATAAGTGTTATTTATTTGTAAATTCGTATTAGTCGAAAATTTAGTACATATTTCTGGAGATCACAAAACTAAATTTTATAAAAATGATTCGACAATTTTGTTTTTCATAAAAGTATCAACAAGACTCGCAGAATTATATTTGTAACAAATACTTACAAGATCCAAGTTCCACTAATTTAATTATTGTAATATCTTGTGGGATTCTCTTTTGACTTTGTCAATTTTATGTCAGTATAAATGTTCCATATCTTTAAATTTATCAAATTATTTTCTCTAATATTTGATATTTTATCGTATTTACATTTTTGAAAAGTCGTATATATAATTTTGTTGTAATTTCTGGATTGAAATATAGTTAAGTCTTCTATAACGCAACGAATTCGTACCGTATTATATGGAATTTCAGAAATAAATAAATTGCACATAAATCAGATCTATATAAAACTGCATTCTCAAAGTATCAAGATGCGATTGATACGGTTAATAAATAAAATTTTATAATAGCAATGGCAATGAGTATGTAGGTTTTTATATATTTGAATTTAGGTTTATCGAATGTAATACATAATTCGTATAATAAAATTATAAACTGAAAAAATTGTTTTCAGCAAAAATAACTTAATTTGATACAGATTACTACTAACGCATCCTAGTTTAAAATATGATTCTAACAGGTTAAAATTAAACGGTTTATTACTTTGTTTTATATAATTATCTTTTGGGTGCCTATCAAAGTCCTTATTAAAATCTTTTCTATCATAAGTTCTCTTATTCATCAATGTTGTTTCATATTTCTTCTTATTTATATTTATTTCTGAAACAAATGGTTTATTTTTAAATACTTATGAAACCACTTCAGTCTAATCAGAATTTAGACATTCTTAACATGTGGTTCATACATTAAGAATACCGCAATTAGATTGTTTTGTTATTATAATTTATCAGATCGAATAAATACCGGCATTGATAAATTTTTCAAGCCATTTGAGTTGTTGGAATTTTCTTGTATGAAAAACGCGTTATAGGAGAACTGTTCCAAATTTCGCATCCTGTTATATGGAAATAGCTTATAGGAGACTTCACTGTATAAGGTTTACTGTAGTACGCAGAGATCTAACCGTATAGTTACCTAATGAACAATAGATAAAGTTTATTAATAGTGAAAAGCATGTGGTAATAGTTGATATACTGTGTTGGCAAGAAAGTTCTTTCGGTTTTTTAGTGTGAAATAAAACTCAATTTTTTCTATACAGTAAATGAACTTTAATCGGTCAAATATCTTCCATTCTATTCGATGACCTTTTGCCATCTTTCTGGTAACTTCATGATCCCGCGCTCATAGAATTTTTGGTTCTTATCTGCAATAAACTTAACCAAGTGCGTAAATCTCAGAAGGTCGACCAGAACATTGTGGGTACCTTTCAGTGAAAAATCTTCAGAACGAAATTTTTTAAACTAATGCTGACACGTACGCTCTGTTAAACAATTAACACCATAAACTTCTCGTATCTCTTTGTGAGCCTCAGCCGCATTCTTGCCTTTATGAAAATAAAGTAAAATGTGTCGAAAATGCTTATTTTTGCACTCCATGTTAAGACTGACCGTGAACTGACAGTTATAAACGAAATTACACGGAATTTCACGAAATAGCAACCTAAAGGTATCGACTACCACATCTCAAAAGAAAAAAATTCTAACATTGACAAAAGAATAACTAAACAAGCATAACATTATTTACTGATGCAAACCGAAATTACTTTCTTGCCAACCCAATAGATTTTAATAAATATATTGATCTAAAAATAAATAATGTATATCAGAAAGAATTAGTGGATCGAGTATGCGTGTAATGAATAAAGTGTGCTCTAGATTGTATATTTTTATATAATGTACGAAAGACAAGAGAAGAAATGAGAGAGTAATTAGTTAGATAGGTCAGTTGCAATTCAGAATTCATTGAGTGTAAACATGTATACGAGTATCGTTAGAAAGAGTAAACACAATTATGTTCTGTAATATTACTGTGTATGTAATAATAATGTGTTCAATAAGTATTTAATATATTCATTTAAGTATAATGTCCACTATTAAACCTTTGCACTCGGTGATTATTTTCGTTACAGAGAAATAGAAATTCAAAGACTTTCTGCTGTAACGTCGAGGATATTTTTGAAACGGTAAATAAGGAATCAGGTATAAATTAAGACTTGAAATTATTTTATTTCGACATTCCATGCAATCTTAGGTTATTTTAGATTTGATATGTTAATTAACATGGATCTTCGGAATGCAATAAAGAATGTAAGTGTCTGTAAAGATTGTAACGACTAATGTGCTCGACACCGTTTTGGGTTTGGAATTGGAAGACTGCGAAAAACAGAAAACCTTTTAACCCAAACCGCAGACGACCCCTGGACACTAGCACAACAGCAAAAGGATCCTTAAAACCCAAAAAACCCAAAATTCGCTACTGCTCTGCGACATCTGACACGTTCGACACCATCGTAGACTATGATTTATTCCAACAAATGTAAATAATTTTTTGATAAAATATATCGAAATATAGAAAAGGTTTTTCTTTCATATATATACATATATATCTTCCATAATATTTATAGCTGTAATGTGATTCTTACAAAAACAGTACGCCTTAAGCATTCCAGAATATTATGTATAATAAAATTCGCATGGGTATATTATAAATATTGCGCTTCTAATCATTATCTTCTACGAGGATGAAACATTTTATAAATTTGTTGTATTTGTTCTATGTTAAAAATGAATTTTTCAAATGTCAATGTAGAGAAAAATCCGACCGTACTACCGAATAGAATTGGTGGAATTTAAATTTGAAAAAAGTAATTTCTCGTATAAATAGTTCTGAATAAAAGAAGAAATGTTTTTGTGAAATTTAACGATAAATGCATGGACAATTCGTAAAAATGCGAGTACACATGAAAAATGCATACTTACCTGTGGGAAACAGAAATTGTTATCCATTACCGACCAGAACTATCAAGAAGCCATTTTAATGTTGCTTTTTTTAATGGAACTTTTTTTGCGAGAAAGTCAAAAGAATTATTCTGTAATTGATTTCGAGTTGCCAATAGATAGTACTTACAGACTAAAAAAAGTTTGGTCGACACTAGTACGTGCACGGCTACAGATCTGTACTGCTCGACAATGGAATGGTCCATAGAGCATGAAAAACATATAAAAGCATTTTAGATCACAATTAATGTGTATAAAAAATTGCGAAATTTTGTATTATTCTGACTGTTTTATTATCCTTAATAGATTAGAGGTATCTATCAGAAAAAAATAAAATTAATTACTTATATAGAAAATAAAATAAACTGTTTGCCCCTGTTGGATTTTCCCATATTGTTCATACTACATG